AGGGGGGGGTGGGGTGTCTGGGGTGTAAATAATTAATATATATTATATTATAATTTAATATTTAATAAATCTATTTACCAGCTGATTTTTGAAATAATTAGACAAATTTATTAGTTTTGAAAAATAATTCTTATATGTAGGCTTTGTATATTATTTCCTTTTATTTTTTTAGAATTGGCCTATTTGGCTTCCCAATTTAACAGCACGATAGAAGGAAAAAAATAAAAAAAAAGAAACGAAAAAAATAACGGCCAAATCCAAATCCATTTAATCCAATATCATCTCTCATCATTGAAGGAGATCCCAAATTGGCAAATCCAAACGTAAAGGTTGAAACCACAATCTGGGATTCAAATTCTCTCAAGTCTCAACATGTCACTCTCGCCTCCGACGCCTTCCGTCGGCAGAAGAAGAAGTTGATGAAGGTCTCTCGTCTCTCACCTTCAGTCAAATCCAATTTCTGTAACTGTAAGGAGCGAGTACGGATTACTTATTTTCTTTTCTTTTTATTTGTTATTTTGATTTGTTTAATGTTTCAATTTTGTGGTTTTGATTTTAACTGAGTGTGAGCCAGTCTTCCAGATGCTTGTTATTATGTGTGTTTGAGTAATGTGAATGTATGGAGTCTAATTTGGGCTTAACTTGACAGTGATTAGTACAGTTGAGGGGAGATAGAATTGAGAGTCGATTTTGTTTGATTTTACTTGATAGACTGATTTGGCTTAACTTGATTTTGCTTTCAATTAATTTAATTCGGGCTTAACGAAAATGAAGAGATTATGGGGTAGATTTTGCTTTCATTAACTTGGTTTGGGCTTAACTTGTGCTGCAGATATGCTCGTGTTCCTTCCCACAAACAAGTAGTCCTGGTTGGATGTAAGTGTTCTACAGAATTTGACAACATGTTAGCTGCTACACATGCATCATATGATTTTGATCGAACAGTTGAGTACTTTCTCACACACATTACCCCCTTCACTTTCCTTCTATTCCTATCATCAGACCCATTTACTCGAATTTGGTACCGTTAAGTGCGGGTGATCCACATAGACCCCTAGCGATGATGAAGAAAGGGATTTTGGGAGGACACTAATGAAAATGTTGTTCTAATGGCTAAAAACGACTTTGTTGCTGACAAGGTTGTGGCTCTTGCGTGCCAAAAATTCACCTGTAGTCTTGCGATCGACAATCCCAAGACCCTAGAATCTCTGTTCTAAGTGAAGAAAAACCACAACGTTAAAAGACAAGTTTCTGGTTTAAATGAGTACGATAGTCTACCTAGTTACCGCAATGTGTCATTTTACTTATTTGAGTAGTTTTGTGGTGTGGGTTAGCATTTAAGAGCGTATGCCTCCCCTCCCCTCCCCTCCATCACCACAACCACCATCAAATACCACACCTAAACTTCAACACCACTAAAGAATCTACATACCAAAACCAACAAAAATTGGCCATCACCTAACCACCATCTCGGCTCCTATTTACTCTACCGTAATTACTTTTCCGCATCTCACTACCAGGCACCAACACTATAGAAACTCATGAAAAGAGACACCAATTTCACAAAAAAATGGTGGTCTAAAGTGAAGAAGAAAATGAGATATATAAAAAGTGCATTGATTGTTTGTCCCAAATTTATTAAAATACCATCATCAGATTGGACACCTGGATTGTGTGAGTCGACTGGTAATAGTTTGCGATGGGGGGTGTGATTGGAGGATGAGTTGTCGATAGTTTTTGAGTTCTCAAGTTGGTGGGTTTGGGTGGTTATTTCGGCGACACCTGTTGGAGTATGGGATCGTGGTTGGGTGGAATGTGTAGAGGGGAATGAAGGCTTTCCGGTGATGTGCGGGTTTGAAGATTTGGACGGCGGTGTTGGCAGCGGGGATATTGTGCCGATGGTGGAGCATTTTCTGAGTTTGGTTTTGGGATTGGTGGTGGATAAGAGTATTTTAACCTTTTAAAATTGGTCAGAATTCGATCAATTTGTTGACTATTGGTCAACTTGGACACCATCTGCATATTTTTGAAAGGTTAGGAACTTTCGTTAACACAAATTGAAGGTTATTGTAAAGTTTAAAAAAATTGAAAAGAATAGGAACTAGTGATGCAATTTTCCTTTCATTTAGTTAAGCCCTTGTTTGATATCGAGAGAAAAAAATATATTTTTGAATAGTGATTTTTGGAGAATGCGTGGTTGAAAATGAGTTTTGAAAAAACGATTTTTCAAAAAAATGAGGCTCAAACCACCCCTAAACCTATCAAGTGTGGCCACGTAAACTTGTGTTAGATAGCATTATTTTAGTTAAAAACATCTCAATGTACGTCCGACAAATCATCTCACAGCACAAAAAAATGGCAGAAGCAGCAACTTCACTTCATTTACAATATAATTTATCCATAATTAATTAGAAACAGAAATGAATACATTATAAATTTGATTTAAAATCAAGTTTAGAAAGTCATATATTAAAACCCTTATGCAAGAAAAAGGTTCCTCTCAAAGCTAGTTCTGCATTTTAGAGTCTGTAGTAATTTGTTAACATCTTCCCATCCAACTCCTTTGAGAAGAATCGTTTTATGTACTCTGCAAATGGGAACTGTTGGTAATGTACCGGTTTTTCACTGGATAACAACTCCAATAAAGGTCCAAACACTTTATCTCTTAGGCTCGGATTGAGGAAAATTGCCATAGACACACAAGGTTCTTTACACAGGTTGGCCCTTGGAGTATAGCCTCTCATTCGACAGAATGGAACTCAAGTCTAAGGAAGAAAAACTGAAGGCATAAGAAAAGAAGCTAGAGCAGCCTTGATTCTGTTACATTGTTATTCATTTTTCTGTTGTTTCAGTTAAATCAATTAGCAAGTT